TTTGGCGATATTGTGTATGTTTTTCGTCGCCAGGCCAAAAAATCATAGACCGTCTACAGACGGTCTTGTCGTTCAGAAGGAAAATTTATGAAAACACCATAATTTATTAGTAGTACAAAAATAATATTTTTATTGAAAAAAAAGTTACAGGTAAATGTAAAAAAATTATCAAGATTTGGTGTGATACTGTGTGAAGCAATTTTTACCTTTCCTGTTACACAAATGAAGGTTGCACTTGGTGCAAAAGGAATTAGTGTCAGACTTTATACACAGTTTGCACGACTTTTTCGATCCCCATTCAGGCCAATGATTTAATCCGTCGTATCTTACACTATCCACCTGATGAACAGCTCGTCTACCGACTGCAGAACTACTAGTTGGCTGTGGAACGGACGATGGTCGTCCAACAGGACGTTTTTCAGTTGTAGCACACAGCTCTTTAGCCATTTTCAATCGAAATTGTTGCATTGTCATGTCTTTTTGTTTTTCACCACCGGAGACGTTGCGATTTTTCTCGACATTTACACGTCGATACAGAACAAAGGCATTGGTAATCGCCATGTCCAGTAGATGGTAAAAAATTCTGGTGGCCATGTGCATTGTTTTTATACGAAGTCCATTTCGACCCATATATGAATCCATGAGGTCTACACCTCCCATGTGAGAGTTGTATTCTCGAATGATTTGTGGACATCCAACCTCGATATATTTATTAGTTTTCTTGTCATAACGAGCCACCTTAGCCGGTTGAGTAACTGCTTTTGTTTTCAAGAAGGGTTTCACACCAACATATGTCGAACAAAGTCTAACATTTTTAGTGTCTTTCCACAAAACTGTGCTCAGATCGACACCATAAGCTGATCCGCAATATTCGACGGAATAACCTCTTGCTTCTCTTTTCAAATCCTTATCTCCTGGCAATTTGCAGTTAGGGATTCGATTGCTTCTAATAGTACCAAGAGCAAAAATGCCACGGGCTCTCAGGTACACCATTAGAGGTAATGAGGTGTAGAAGTTATCAAAATAAATGACATGATTTAGGAAGTCTGGCACTGTCTGCGATAACCTGATAACAACGTTTCCTGTAACACCTATGTCTGGAGTGTAAGGCAATATGATGTCATCATTACGAGCACCAGTATAAATTTCGAACTGGTATGAAAACCCATTCGTATCACAAAGAACGAATAACTTTACACCCCATTTGTTAGGTTTATCTTTGAGGTATTGTCTAAGATGGTGGACCATTTTAGTTGAGCACATTTGTTCATCCACACATAACCGTGCATTTTTTGGGATGCTGTTAAACTGAGCATTCAAAATTGTGGCAATTTTTCGTACTCGAAAGATAGGATCGTATCCTGGTTCACCTTTTGGAATACGTTGGCGTTCATCATTGAACGCAAGATGCTTTTTGATTGCTTCGAATTTCTTCAATGCCATGCAATCTGGTAGGGCTCTGAAACCAAATTCGCCCCAGTGCGATTCCATGTTGGGATAACGAAAAATTGACATAAATATGAGAATGCCAATGTACCGCCGTATCTGTACTGCGTCAACGGTAAATTGTGTATTAATGTCGATGACACGTGCAGCTCGATTTGTTTCCAACACAATGAGATCCACCAATTCATCCGTAAAGAAGTAATTGAAAAACTGCAACGGCGAATCTAATTTAAGTATTTCAGGTGGAAGATCAGTTTTGCCACGAAATGCAACCTCGTTCACGTGTAACTGCATTGAACGTTGACGCCACAGAATATTCTTCCATTCCTGTGATTCCTTTGCAATATTGATTAACGCTGAAAGCAAACAAATAATCAGTACATGACAATTATTTTTTTATTCGTAATATGTACAAACCTCCTCCAGTGAAGCCACCTGCTGATGGTACTACCCTTGGGCCGGAAACTTCCAAAGTCGGTAACGGCGATCTTGGTCTCTTCGGTGGTTTGAATGTAGATGTAGGTGTTGCTACTGACCTTGTTGCGATTGCAGCCGTATCTACTGTTGTTGCTACGATGGTTGTGTCTTCTGATATCGATGCTACTAATTCTGTTGCTGTGGTTGGTGAAGATTTATCTCTAACCCCATTAGCCGCTTCAGAAGTAGAATTTTGTGCAATTGGAACTGTAGTATCCGTAGAACTGAACGAAGTACTATTGATATTCCGTGATAAGTTCGCAGCCTGTACACTTGTAGCGGTTGAATCTATGTTTTGGATGCATTCAGTTATCATCTCATAATCTTCAGGTGTTATTTCATCACACTCGTAATCCGGATCACTGTCTACATCATCGACTTCTTCTTCATCCGTAAACGATTCCATAATGTCTAATATATCTTCTTCACTCAGAGTAGATACATCGAATCCTTTTCCTGCCGCCCAGGCTCTCTTACATCCTTTTACACCACGTTTTCCCTCCATTTTCTACATAAAAAAATAATAACCGCATGTTTAGTAGGTAAAATAAAGAACAAAAATACGCGTAATAGTAAAAAGTAACGAGAAAAATTTTGCAACTAAGCGACAAGACCGTCTGCAAACGGCCTTCACTAAATGCGCGGTATTTCAATTCCACTTCTTATTTCCTCCACACACAGTAGTAACTCAATAAATATACATAATAACTACTTACCACAAAAATTTTCGTGTTTATTTCTCAACTAAAAAGTACTTTTTAAAATTCTTTGATTTTTCCCGTACACACAAATAATTTTAACGTCTGATTCATACGATTGTCGCGACATAAATGCCCGCCGCTGTAAATCAAATAAGCCTACAACCTTCAAACTGGTACCGTTAGATTCGTATTTTCACTGCCTACAAACGGTTTTGTCGTTCTGCTCGATCACACCCGTTATTAAAAAAATACTTAGGTTAGAGTAAAGACCGTCTGCAGACGGTCTTGCCGATTAAAGGGTTAAATAATCTGCTATGCAGGCGACGCAATACTACTCTCTCAAAGTGAAGATGATTTACAACGTATGCTACACGAATTTAATATAAACGCCATACAATTTAACATGTTAATTTCCCCAAAAAAGAAAAAATGTATGGTTACAACAGCAAATTTACTAAGATGTAAATTGGAGCTGGAAGGTCAGATAATAGAACAAGTGATGGAGTTTAAATATCTTTCTTTACCCTTCTCCATATTTATTTCTGCATTTGTCGTCACCTCTGGTATTGGGTGGTGACGACACGAAAATTAAATTCAAAATAAAAAAAGAACAATAATTATCTGAAAGTCTATACCTTTTAATATCTCTTAAAATCTTGATTTTTTGATTGATTTTTGTTTTTTTTTTCTGTAGACTTACACAAATCCATTATATTTTTGCCTTTAGCAACTTCATTTAAAATTTCGGTAAATTAGACCGTTATAAAACGTTAGGCAGTTACAATCAATTAATTATATTATTTATCTATGAGTTACGATTTTCTAACATTCAACAACTAGGTGACACATGAAATAATCTGAAATTGAAAAAGTTCTGTGAATTATTTTAGTAGTTTTAAAATTAACATCATATGATATTTGTCATTGTCAATTTCATCAATTTCTGTCAAACAGTGATAATTTGATATGTTAAGTAGATGCCCATTATTAAATAATTCATACTGTTTCCCTAAAACATTTATATCCATTAGATTTGTTTAAATAGATATGTAAGTAAATATACTTTTGTCTTAGTATAATTGTCTTCGGTTAACTTTATTGGCAAGCTCTATTTATTATTTAGATGCATATATAATAGAATCAAACCACTTCTCATACTACTGACTTCTAAAACAATATCTTTGTGTTTTATTTTAATTTTTTTGCATTAGTTTACTTTGTTCGATTTCCATACGCTAGTATTTTTGTAAGATAGTTAATTAAAAAGTTTAGTAAATTGAGTTTACCAAATTGTATTAATAGAGATAGGAGAAAAACTATTTTCCTATTTACACTTTTCCCAAATTAAGCATTGGATAGGTTTAAGGTTATGAACTGGTTCATCTGCTTGATATAAACAGGGAGAAATTAACTGCAAAAAATTACTTTACACTATTGAAATAAATTATAACATGGTGATAAAAGGGCAATACTTCTATGATATGGTGCAAATATAGCACCCATAATAACAAATTTAGAAAATTTAGTCTCTGATGCATTTAGAGAATAGGCTGGATTTCGTACAGTATGTGGAACAAACAAATAATGTCGCGAGGTATTGATACACTTTTACACAATAATTTTACCGCTCAATGATTGCAGAATGGATCAGATATATTTCCAACTAATTTATAATATAAAAACGCAATACAACCACACCGATTACATAGAGACAGAAACAAAAAAAAGCAGTAAAGGTGTCAGACAGGGAGACACAATGTCATCACAAATCCTCAAGACCGTTCTCTAACATAACTAGATTAAGTGACTAACGTAGAAATAAACAACGATGGGAAGAAACTCAATCATTTATGCTACATTGACAATGTTTTTCAACATTCGATAACTGGGTTGGAAACTAAAAATAGCATGTCAAAGGTAGGTTTGCAAATAACCCTGAAAAAAATAAAAATGAAACTGGATACCTCTCTAGTGCATAAAAGTAGCTCAATTGGAAATAGACATCTCTCTGAGTTGGGCAGCATATGTAAAAACTAAGATCATCTTTAAAGCCGAAACTTCTACTTCAGTAAAAGATCAATACTTAAACTGATAGTTGCCCAGATGAAAACGGATAAACACCAAAATATGTGACACTATCGGAGCAATTACCCACCTGGTATAACTGAACTGGCTATAGAATAGAAATAAAAAAGACTGCCTATACACTAATAATTCACGACAGATAATCTGAATAGGGTGAGAATAAACTGGATCCGAGTAACTGTATTTATTTTTAATTTTTTATACTTAGTAATTTTCTACATTACTTTTAACATATAAAACTAAGTTATATAATATATACCAGTCCTTTTTCTTTAAGTTTAATTGACATTATTATTTCTTTTATAGTTGCCGTTATTGGAGACAACCAAATCGTCTTCCAAAGTTAATTTGAATCATCACCAGAGCAAAACAGTAACCACACCGATGTCTCCCTTGGTGGATGCCTTTCCGGCCATCAATAACAATTCCACGCGGAGCTCGCACGAACTGAGCAATAACAATAAGGAGGAAAATGGTTTTCCTATGACGCCTTCAGGTAAGTAAACGTTAAAATCTAATTTGAAGCTAGGAGGGTTCTTTTCATATATTCGTTAGTCAAATATACGTTTGTTGAAAACGGAAATTGAGGATTAAGGTTCATTGATACTGTCAATAAAGATTTTCTACTAGGCGTTTTCAGCTTAATGTTAAATCATTGTAGTGATTTGTTGGTACTAGCAAGTAAACTCAGCGGTAAATATAACATTCGACTGCATTCTACAATTCCAAATCTTTTTGCTTAAGATTTTTGGATTTATTAATATTAAAATTATAACAATTTACTTGCATAAGAAGACTGCTTTTAAATCGTAAGATACTGCCGTTTAAGATATTTTTTACAAACTCTTTCGGAAAAATCTTTGTCCATTAATTTATTTGTTCTAACAACATTGATATTATATGAATATTAATGGTTATTTTGGTAATGTTAATTTCCATTCGTGTACAAGCTCCGTACGTCATATCGTGTCAATCGGTTAAGCAACATTCAGGAAGATGGTGAAGCATAATTTTTCAATTCTATTGCTTTTTCTATTAGATTAATTAATATTATATCACAGATGTATGTATGTGCAGCGTTAACAGGCCTTTTTGGCCCATTGCTAGATGGATAATTTCCATCGTTTTCTATTCTTAGCTAGCAGCTTCCAATCTCTAATTCCTATCTCTCTGACATCTTCCATCACTACATCTCTCAATTTCTTTTTTGGTCTTCCTCTCTTTTTTGTCCTTAGGTACTCTCCAAGCAATATTCTTGACTAGTCTATTACCTTGCATTCTTTCTAGATGACCGAGCCATTCTAGTCTACGTTTGTTCATCACTTTTGTTATTGTAGGGTTAGCATACAAATGATACACTTCTGCATTAGTTCGTCTTCTCCATTCTCCCTCTACTACTTTTCCACCAAATATTCCGCGAAGTATTTTTCTTTCCCATGCTTTCAATGTATTCTATATGGTTTTATTCATAGTTCATGTCACGGCAGCGTATAGCATTGTGGGTCTAATTATAGTTTTGTATACTCTTATTTTTGTACTACGAAATATATCTTTGGCCTTAATTATTTTGCTCATGGCTCCAGCACATCTATTGCTCTTGGTCAGTCTCAGGTTGATTTCAGTTTCTTCCTTACATGTCTGATCAATAAGAGTACCTAAGTACATATATTCATCCATCTTCTCGAATTCTACAACTCATCCATTCTCCACCTCCAATTTAAAGGATCCCCTGGTGTTTATTCCTTTTTTGCTTGAGATCTCCATGTACTTCGATATATTAATATTAACTTTCAGTCCCATTTTAGAGTTTTCCCTAATCAGTCTTTTTGTTATATTTGATAGTTTTTTTTCCATTTCTTGCAATGAGAACCACATCATCAGCGTATGCTAAGCATTGGTGCTCCTTATATAAAATAGTTCCGGACCTATTTATCCCACTAACCCTTACAATTTTTTCTAGAACTATATTGAATAGCAATGTAGACAACGGATCTCCTTGGCAAACACCTTTTTTCACTCCGAATTCTTCTGAGACTGTACCGTTGCATCTCACAGCACAAATGGTTTGTCTAATTGTCATTTTTACCAATCTTATTATTTTTTCTGGCACTTGAAATTCTTTCAGTGTTTCTATTAACTTGTTTCTGTCTATTGTATCGTAGGCAGCTTTGTAATCAATGAAAAGTACTTGTGCTGAAATGTTGTATTCATAGCAATTGATCAGGATTTGTTTTAGCATAAAAATTTGATCGGTTGTTGATCTTCCTTTCTGAAATCCTCCCTGGTATCTCCTAGATTCTTCTCTATGTATATTTCTAATCGTTTACCTCTAATAAGGATATTCCTCTATAGTTTGCGCATTCGTGTCTATCTCCCGTTTTGTGTATAGGAATTATAATCGACTTATTCCATTCTTGAGGCATTTCTTCGGCATCCCATACTTCTAGTATTAGCTCACCAAGTTTGTTTATTAAGGCCTCTCCTCCATATTTTATGTTCTTTGCCACACTGCCGCTCTTCCCGGGGCTTTTTTGTTTTTCATATCTTTTATTATTTCTTCAATTTCTTCTCTTGTGGGCTTTGGTATTTCTTCTATTACTATTTGAGGTTTAGGAACATAACAATGTTTTTCGGTAGTCACTTTTTCATTTAGCATCTCTTCGAAATATTCTTTCCACCTTTCACATATCTGGTCTTCGTTCACTATCAGGTTTCCTTGCTTATCTTTTACATTTATCGTTCTTCCCTGATACTCAGTTTTAATGTATTTTACTTCTTTATAAAAAAATTTTATTTGATTTTTCTGTAATTTTCTTCAATGCGCTTAATTTTATCATCCATATACTTTCGTTTCCGCTCCCTTAGGATTCTCTTTACCTTTTTTCGTTGTTCGGCATACCTTTCTATGTCGTCTTGTTTTTGCGATTGTAAACTTTTTAATCTCAAATCTAATCTCTTTTTTCTGCTCTCAGAATTCTGTTCTGCATTCTTCATTGAATCAGTGGTTTTTTTCTAAATCTTTTTGTTCTTGGTATGTTCTTCAACGTAGCATCCTTTATAGTGTTTGTCATTTTCAATAACTTTTGTTGTATGTTACTCACAGTAGTACTATCTTGTTTGTCGTAGGTTTCTTGTTTCGCTACCTCAAATATTCGCAGTTTTTCAAAGTGAAATTTACGTTGCACTTTCTTTTTCCGTTTATTCTTTTTAATTATTGCTTCTCTCATATAAATTTTAACCAAAAAATGATCTGAGTCTACGTCAGATCATTTTTTGGTTAAAATTAATATGAGATATATAATTTGCCATATTAAATTGGCAAACTTCTCTTGATATTACAGATGGACCTGGTCAATAGTTAAGTGATGTTTCCTTAATCCAGACGCGTGATTTATTTCTCTATGATATATGTTCTATCCAATAATAAAACTTTTTAATACAGGTTTAAAAAACTTTTGGTGTATGATGATATATTTTAATAAATATATTTAAAATTTATTCAAAAGGACTACAATTCTTTAAAACGTCTTCGGTTCAGTCGGCCATTATCAATGAGTATTTAAAAGTAGCTGAAACTTGCTACGAAAATAGGTGTAAAACTCTTTTGAGTTACATGATAAATGTAAAAAGATCGAAGACCTCTAAAATAAATATGATCTGTGTAACCTACACAAGAAAGTTAAAGAACTGGCCGGAATAAGAAAACAAAATCCCACTGGTGCACTTCTAGAAAGATACGGGACTACATTAACAAAGATGGGCAGAATATATCGACGAACTGTTCGATGACGAAAGAGTAGATCTGGAGCAGATAGAACGTACGTCAGAAGAAATAGGTCCAAATATTACAAAAGAAGAAATGTTATACACATTAAAAATAATAAAGAGTGGGAAAAGCCCTGGACCTGACATGCTTCCTATAAAAATCCTAAAAATTCTAGATAAGAAGCACATTGATGTTTTAGTGACACTCTTGAACCAAATTTATAGTTCAGGCGTATTACCCAAAGAGTGGTTAATGTTGATTTTTATTTGTCTCCCCAAAAAGAAAAACGCAAGAGAATTACCGCACCATTAGCTTGATGTCTCATGTGCTAAAGTTACTACTAAAAGTCATCCACAACCGAATATATAACAAACTTGATATTGACGTTAATGTCACACAATTTGGTTTTCGCAAAGGCCTAGGAACGCGTGAAGCTCTTTTTTCACTTAATATACTGATACAAAGATGTCTGGACGTTAATCAAGATATATGCGTACGTTATATTGAATATAGTAAAGCATTGGATAAAGTACGACATAAACAATTAATGAATGTCCTGAAATGAAAGAAGATTGACTACAACGACCTCGGGATCATATAAAATTTTTACTATAAATAGCGAGCAAAAGTATGTGTTAACGAACAGCTGTCAGAAGAAATTGAAATTAGACGGGGAGTGAGACAGGGATGCGTATTGTCGCCAATTTTTTTTAATGCCTACTTGGAAGAGATCCTGAAAAAAGCTCTTTAGGGTGAAACAGCTGGAATAAAGGTAAATGGAGTTCCCATTAACAAAATTAGATATGCGGACGACACTGTGATCTTAGCCAAAAATAGTGAAGATCTTTAGAGACTGAAGTGACTGAGGTGATCAGAATAGCGCAGTATGGAAAACAGTACGGTCTAACAAGGAACGTCAAGATCACGTTTTTAATATGAGAATATTAAAAACTTAAAGAAATTCGATAACCTTTAATAATCGAAACCAACGTCGAACAAGTGGACAAATATGCCTATCTGGGAACAATTACTAACTCCACAAATGATTAGATTCAGGAGATCAAAACCAAAATAGAAAATTCCAGAGCAAATTTCAACAAAATGAGAAGAGTACAAGGGATTTAAAATTGAAACTAAGAGTTAGGTTGGTGAGGTGCTATGTTTTTTCGACTTTGTTTTATGGAATGGAATCTTGGACTTTGAATGCGACATCAATAAAAAAAACTGGAATCATTCGAGCTGTGGACAAAACACGGCACAAACAAAGAGGTTCTGAGAAGTATAAATAAAGCAATAGAAATTTTAAATACAATTAAAACAATAAAATTGGAACATCTCGGACATATTACACGTCGCGTCGAGAGAAATACACCTTGCTCGAACTGATTATGCAGAGAAAGATCCAATGAAAAAGAAGCATAGGGAGGAGTAGAATGTCGTGGCTGCGGAACCTTCGAGGGTCGTACGGATGTACATCAAATGAACTTTTCAGAGCAGCCATTTCAAAAGTCCGAATAGCTATGATGATTGCCGACTTCCGTTGGAGAGGTGGCACTTGAAGAAGAAGAAGACATGATAAATGTTCCTTTTATGTTAAATTCTCGACATCGACCTCGTGCCCGTAAACTATTACTATTATCTATTTGCCCTTAAACTATTACTATTAATATTATCCATGATTGTCCTGAATTCAAAGGTTTTTGTACCTTTTTTCGTTGCTAGTTTTAACT